GGGAAGTTCACAGGACTTCCAGGGGAAGTTCACAGGACTTCCAAGGGAAACACCGAAGCTCAAAAAAATCCCAGATGACATTTAGCAAGGTCGCTTTTTCAGGTTAAGATCAACGGACTTTTAGGAGAAACATTCCACAGATTTTAGAAAAAATCTGACCTACTCCATAGTCAGTAGAACTTCTTCAACGGAAAACTTCATTTCATGGACGATTTTGTAGAACGTCGTCTTCCATGATGAGTTCGGAGAAACTCTAGAAATTTTAATTTCAGTAGAATTTTACAGGACTTCCAGGGGAAGTTCGAACATCTTCGAGAGGAAACTTACAGGACTTCCAGGGGAAGTTCACAGGACTTCCAAAGGAAACTGTGTGGGCTTCCATGGAACGATCAGAAAACTTCCAGTCTAAACTCAGGACGCTCCGAAGCTCAAAAAAATCCCAGATGAAATTTGGCAAGGTCGATTTTTCAGGTTTAGATCAATGGACTTTCCAAAGATTTTATAAAATTTCTGACCTACTCTGAAAAGTCCATAGAACTTCTTCAACGGAAAACTTCATTTCATGGACAATTTCGTAGAACGTCGTCTTCAATGATGAGTTCGGAGAAACTCTAGAAATTTTAATTTCAGTAGAATTTTACAGGACTTCCAGGGGAAGTTCGAACATCTTCGAGAGGAAACTTACAGGACTTCCAGGGGAAGTTCACAGGACTTCCAGGGGAAGTTCACAGGACTTCCAAGGGAAACTATGTGGGCTTCCATGGAACGATCAGAAAACTTCCAGTCTAAACTCAGGACGCTCCGAAGCTCAAAAAAATCCCAGATGAAATTTGGCAAGGTCGATTTTTCAGGTTTTGATCAACGGACTTTTAGGAGAAACATTCCACAGATTTTAGAAAAAAAAATCTGACCTACTCCATAGTCCATAGAACTTCTTCAACAGAAAACTTCAATGCAGTTCATGGACAATTTCGTAGAACGTCGTCTTCCATGATGAGCTCGGAAAAACTCATGAAGAAATGTATAGAATTTTCAAGGGAGGTCTTCCAAAGGAAAACAAGTACATTTATGTGAAGGACAGTAGAGGTTTTCCAGTGTAGCTTTCGAGACAGGCCTGGAGACGCTCAGAGTAAGTTCAAAGAAAGTTTAAGGGGGAATTTGAGTGTCTTCAAAGTTTCAGCAAGAAGTGAAACATTTCACAGAGTTCAAAGGATTTGCAGTATTCTAGAGAAAGTTTAGAAGGACTCATAGAGAAAGTTCAGGGGACTTCTAGAGCTATTCAAGACACAAATCGAGAGGAATTATATAGCAAGTTCAGAGGTCTTCCAGAGTAGGCAAGTCCGGAAGTTGATTAGTTTGTTATTTTTCTTTATTAAAGGGGTTTTTAGCCGTTGGCTGGTTCGCCTTTGGGGTTAAGTCCGGAAGACTGATAAAGCATATCCAGAAAATTTCTAAAGCCACTGCAATTCCAGGGAGTTTCTAGAGAAATTTAAAAAAAAAAACTACTATAGCAAATTTAGAATAGTTCTACACAGTGGCGTCGTCTTAACCTCAATCTACCTGTGCACCAACTCTCAAAACATCAATCAATTGCTTGAAATCCGTAGATATCGCGTAAATTAGAAGAATATGGGTATTTTTCAACCGGTTCGAGTGTGAATATGACATTAAATCTGGTTGTAAAAAAGTTGGTGCACATGAAAAAAGTGAGGTTACACGACACCACTTCTTCTAGAGCAACTCCGCAGGAATTTCAGAACAAGTCGACAGGATTTATAAAGGAACCCTAGAAGACTTTTGGAGCTCAACTAGAAAATTTCTAGTGCAAGTTCAGAGGACTTAAGGAGCACATTTAGAGACTAGAAAGGACTTCCAAAGAAAGTTCAGAGTACTCCTAAACAGGCATGGGTAGTGAATTTCTTCACGGTTCTAATTGCGTCGCTGTTTGTTGAATATTTATCAGTCGAACAAACATCGGATTCATGAAACCGCCTGGTGCAGTCTTGGTTCACTGCCGAAGTCTGCTTCTAAAGAAAGTCCAAAAGACTTCAATAACAAACCCAAAATACTATTAGAGTAAATCTAGAGAACTTCTAGAGCAAGTCCAGAGAGCTTCTACAGTTAAAGGACTTCTAGAGTAAGTCCAAAAGAGACAAACGAGCGCAGAGGACATCCAGAACATGTTCAGCGAACATCAAGGAAAAGTCCAAAAGACCTATGGAAAAGTAGTTCTAAATCGAATCCAAATTACATCTAGAGCAATTTCTGAAGAATTTTAAGCAGAGAACCTCTCAATTCAGAGAGCTTCTAGATAATTTCCAGAAGACTCCTAGAGAACATCAATAAACAAAACTTCTAAAGCAAATTTAGAGAACTTATAGAACAACTTCAGAGGACTTATAAAGAAAACCTGAAGATCTAACCTAGAGCAGAACTACAAAATTCCTAGTGAAAGTTCAGATCAAGGATCTAGAGACCACAACGTTTATTCGATTGACAAAAGTTCACGAACTAGCTTGGTGAAGAAGTTGGATCCATTCACACGAGCCCTGCCTCAAAAAACCGGGCAGAATCGGAGTCACCTCTCTCATTGCACTCCATATCGGACCTGCGGGTAGGTAAAACCGAAGCCCTTCGAAGCTTTGATTCGGAACTAATGAAGTTCACTATGTCAGCCGCCTGAAACATTGGTCCTTCTACCCGTCCTCAGGTGAGTGAACTGTCGGTGTGATTCCGAACCAGTCGTTTGAAACATTGGTCCTTCTACCCGTCATCAGGTGAGCGAACTGTCGGTGTGATTCCGAACCAGTCGCCTGAAACATTGGTCCTTCTACCCGTGCTCAGGTGAGCGAACTGTCGGTGTGATTCCGAACCAGTCGCCTGAAACATAGGTCCTTCTACCCGTCCTCAGGTGAGCGAACTGTCGGTGTGATTCCGAACCAGTCGTTTGAAACATTGGTCCTTCTAACCGTCCTCAGGTGAGCGAACTGTCAATGTGATTCCGAACCAGCCGCCTGAAACATTGGTCCTTCTACCCGTCCTCAGGTGAGTGAACTGTCGGTGTAATTCCGAACCAGCCGCCTGAAACATTGGTCCTTCTACCCGTCCTCAGGTGAGCGAACTGTCGGTGTGATTCCGAACCAGCCACCTGAAACGTTGGTCATTCTACCAGTCCTCAGGTGAGTGAACTGTCGGTGTAATTCCGAACCAGCCGCGTGAAACATTGATCGTTCTACCCGTCCTCAGGTGAGCGAACTGCCGGTGTGATTCCGAACCAGCAGCCTGAAACATTGAAACTGTCCGGTGCGGCCTCGGTTCACTACCCAAGTCTTCTTTCAAAACTAGTCCAGAAGACTTCAATAACAAACCCAAAAGACTCTAATCTAGAGAACTTATAGAGCAAGTCGTAGAGGACTTGTACAGTAAGTTAAAAAGAGACAAACGAACCCAGAGGACCTCCAGAACGTGTTCTAGGCAAGTCCAGCAAGCAAGGCTTCCAGAAAAAGTCCAAAAGGCCTTTGGAAAAGAATTACTAAAGTAAATCCAAATTACATCTAGAGTAAGTTCAGAATACTAAACAGAGGACTTCTAGAATCAAAAATCTAAGGAGCTTCTAGCGCAGATCCCTTTAACGTCTGGAAAATTGCATTTGCATTTCAGGAATGTTCCGAAAACATTAGGGACACTGCGGTTATTTTTTATGAATATCAGGAACATTTCTGGATCATTAGGAACTTCTCTTTCATCCGGAATTTCTCCCCAGCTTCTTCTTGAAGTTTCTTCCGACAGCCCTCAGGCTTCCGACTTTCTCCAGAAGTTTCTTCCAATCTACCTTAGGAAGTTTCTTCCAGCGTCTCCAGGAAGTTTCTTCCGTCTTCTCCAGGAAGATCAATTAAAGTTATACTGGACGGATTTATCGAATTCTCTCAGAAGTTGCTTTCGCATTCCTCTGGAAGTTTCTCTATGACCCGTTCTCCTGTTGGGGTTTTTCCCTATCTTCTTCTGGAAATGGCTACTCCAGGAATTTGCTTCCGATTTCCGAAAACTTTCTGGCATCCTCTGAATGTGGCATCCGATTTTTTCCGAATGTTTCGGAAAATCTTCGCCAGAAGCTTAGAACTCTTAGAACTTTCTGTGATCTTCCCCCAGAAGAGCTTCTTTATTATTTCTCTGGAAGTTTTCCGACTTATTAAAATTTTCTCCGGAAATTTCGTCCGACTTATTATGGAAAGTAAATTTTCCATTTTCGCCCTAAAAAAATTGCAAAAAAATTAAATCAATTAAAATAGTGAATACCGATAAATACCGACTTGTTTGAACATTTGATACCGATAAGCTTGAAAACAATCTGGCAACGCTGACTGGAAGTCTTCTGAAGATGATAAGGCTAGTGACTGATTGTAGCACGAAAACTAGTCCGATAGCTGTGGGCTCTCCCCGCTGTTGAACTTGATCAAGCCTAATAACCTCTGATTGTCATCCGCAAAATCGCTTTATGAATGGCCAAAAACGAATGGATGGATTGATAGGCAATTCACTTATTCATTTCATTCCTTGGGACAGTTAAGAATCTCCTTCCAACAACTGTATCAGCCAATTGGTCAGAAAACGAGCTATCCAACAGGAAGATGCCCCAATGAATGGGGAGAAGAGCCCGCCCTTTATCCACGAAATGATAGCAACAGAGAGTTGACATCTTCATTCTCCCTATCCAAAAAGATTCAATCGGGTGCCCTGATAGACTGATTGACGAACGCTGATTGAATTCAGATGAGTTCTAGGGTATTTTTAATTTCTCAGAGAAATTCATAGAATTTCGAGAGGATGGAATTTGAGAGGATTTATAGAAAAGTGAGAAAGAATTACAGGTCTTCTATACAAAGTTTGGAACTCTTTTGTTCAGAGAAAATTCCCAGCGAACCTGAAAGATTCACAGGATGAAGTTGGAAGAGTTTCAGATTTTCAAAAGAAGGCGATCAGAAGAATTCTCTTAGATCACCTTTAGAACTCTTTAGAAGGATTCACTCTAAAATTGTATGGAGACTTTTGCCTAAGTTTTAAATTAAGTTCAGATGAGTCCAACGAAAGCTCGTTGGCCTTCTTCAGAAGGTTTAAATGCCTACATTGTGGGATATGGAGCTTTCCAAGGGTTTATCAGGAGGTGCCCAGAAGCATCCAAGCCGAACAATGCAAAAGGCCCAATGTAATCTGATATCTTCCATTAATTACTCGACTATAAAAAACGTTTCCTGAATTCTGCGTTTGTCGTATTAGACGACAGCTAGATAATAGCTTCTATCACCGAACTGAATCTGCAAAGATTCAAAGAGAAAATCTACGAAGAGAATCGATCGCTAGACCTTTCGTATTGTTCGTGTTGGGGATTTTGTTCTTGGTGTGAACATTGTACTGCCCTAAAGCTTCATCTTTGTCAACGGAGTTCCAAAGCTAACAACGAAAATAAAACTAAGCATAACTTTTAAAACCGTCACTTTGATTAAGTATTAGGAGTCTTAAGCGAAAAAAAAAACAATAATTAGCAAGGAAAACTGGAACAATAATATCATAAATGAAGCATTGGTCGCCACCGACACAAACAGGCCGATGAAGACACACACGGCCCATGAGAATAACTCAGAGCGAAAGAGAGTCACTTCCACTCAGTTGTATGGAGAAATTTCTAAAAACTGCAGTAACTCAGCGCCGCAGTTTTTTTTTTAATTTCTCCATACAACTGAGTAGAAGTGACTCTCTCCGTCCCACTTATTCCCATTGACCTATGCCTAATAAAAAACAGACAAAAAAAACAGTTCAGTACTTACTAACTCTTCGTCTAAAAACAACAACTACTCTGCTCGCCGCCGCTGCCATAGCCATTGGACATCCGCCGCCCGGTGATGGTGGCCGTAGTGTTCCCAATGATGCCGGCCGATGTGCTGTGATGACTACTCCTTCGACTACTACCACACCCGCTGGCACCACCACCATTCCTTGACCGGCGCCGGCGTCTGATGAAGATGCGCCGCAGCGACGCCACGATCGACGTCAATCAGGATATCACGCAGCTGTTTCGCATACTGCCGCCCCCGATGCCGATGCCACTTCGGTGCAGCTTCAGGTGGCCGGTGGGTGTTTTGCACTTGAAGTTCTTCGCATTGGAGGTGGGTGCCGTGTTGTGATGCAGGAACGTGTTCAGACACTGGGACGAGGTGAGGGCGTACGACTTCAGGTAGGACTTAACCGACGGCGGCAGCGGGAGTGAATCTATGGCATAGACGCTGGTCCGCCGGACGATCGTTCGACAGCAGAGTTCCTGCAGCGAGAGGACCTTGTTCGAGCGCCAGATCCGTTCCATACCGTTCCGATGCAAGGCCATCCGAGCGAGCTCGCAGAACGATTCCCGGATGTTGAAATCACACAGTGGGGAAATCTCGAAACAGGCCATCTTGTTCCGGGAAGCATACAGTTCCGCCTGCTTGGCAGCGACCTGTCGTTTGAAGGCCAGGTGTAATCGATTACCGACCAACACCTTCGGAACGCCCGGAGCGTGCTCTTCGACTTCCTTGAGCCACCGGCTCAGCCCATCGAAGCTCCATTTGTTGGTGATGTCGTACACTAGGATGATGCCCTGAGCTCCACGGGAATACGATCGGATGATGGTGCAGAAGCGACCCTGACCGGACGTGTCCCAAACCTGCAGCTTGACTCGTTTGCCGTCCAGCAGGATTGTGGTGGTTTTGTATGCAGCTGTAGAGGGAGAATACAGAGAACAGGAATTGTACTTTACATTTTCACAAATTACACTACTTTTTCGATATGGTTGATGTTCATTTCTTGACGTAGACTACGTCTTATGGGAAGGTACGGGGGGTAAAACGAAAATCAAAAATTGACTCCGTCACGAAAAGGTGTTAGTTTTTGAACGCTTGTAACTTTGTCATTTGTAGATTAAATTAAAATCCAAATACATCAATCGATAGGAAATAACTCTACGGATCTGCTGAAACAAATAGTTTTTAAATTTATCATAAAACCCTTTGGGAAAATGGGATAATTTTGTCACATCATATTGTGATGTTTCATAAAATAAAATTTTCCCTAACCCAGACGTCATAATCGAGTACCACTTGGTTGCGCATCATTCTGTTTGAACCTGTACAGTTAGAAAAGAGCGCTGCACAATTCGGAATGAATCGTCAGGTGACAAATATTTAATTCAAATGTTACTCTGATTGGATTGCGTGTCCAATGATTGCTGGGATCAAACATCCAATAGGGCTTGAACCGGGGCGGAAGTTGGATCATACGTCGACCTCTTTCTAGGATTGGTGTAGCCGTTTGAACTGATTCTTCTACTTCAGTTGTCTTTGGTTCCAATTCGTCTTCGGATTCCTCATTATTGGTACTTTTATTTTCCCACAAGTCATCCGTCAGATTGTAATCATCTGGATTGTTCGGCATGTGCTTCTTCATGCGATTGGAACCACAAGTGGAGTTGTTAGTCCAAAGAATATCGAAAGCGGCGTCGGATGAACTATTGGAACTACTTTCTAGAACACGAGTCTTCCAGCTGGTTGGCGGTGCGACCGTATCAGACGATGTTGATCTTTAAGGAAGACATTGTAGTTGACGGTATCTATCTGCTCGATTACTGTTGCTGGTTCCCACTGCCAAGAATTCGCTCGATGTACCTTGACATATACGAAATCACCGTGCTGACAACCTCTCTGGACCGCGCCGTGCTTTTGGTTGAAAACGTCATTCTATTTCTTCCTGCCTCTGGATATGGTGCAATGTTCTGTCGATTTGAACATTGATGATATGGTACGAAGTGGTCTTCCAAACATCATCTCTGCTGGAGATTTGCCATCCAGATCGCCATTTGGTGTAGAAAGATATACTTGCAGGAAAGAGTTTAGTGCTTCCTCAAGCGCTTCTCCCCCGGACGAGTTTTCCGGAGACTTCTCTTCAAAGTGTCCACGAATCTTTCGGCAAGCCGGATCCCTTGACTGGTGCAGAAAACTTAAAATTCATAACTTGAAAACTGGGTGCCGTTGTCAGACACGATTACCTCTAGAAAGATTAATTCAGCAGCTTGATTGCGGCTTTCGATGTCGCAGATTTGGTTGCGTGCACCTCAGGCCATTTGGAGTAGGGGTCTACCATTACCAGGAAGTAGATTCCATCTACTGAACCTACGTAGTCAATGTGAATCCTGGACCATGGTTTAGAAGGAATGGGCCACGATTGCAACGTCGTTTGAGGTTCAGCGTTTAACGTAATCTTCAATTTCGTTATCGATACCAGTCCAGTAAACAAGACTTCGTGCTATTGCTTTCATACGTACCATTCCCGGATGACCTCGATGGAACCACGACTCTGTCACCGAACATCACGCAGCCGTCAACTGGGCTGAGTGATGGACGGTCTGTGGTAGTAGGGTTGAACTACAGCGTAGAGATTCTTGGTGCAGACAGGCCAACCGTCACAGCTGTGCTTAGCAACAGTTCGGAGAGTGGCGTTTGTAGATGTAGCCTTCTGTAGTGCTGCGAAGAAACCGGAACCTTTTCTGTTGTGTTGGAAAGAATGCTTGATAAATCTTCGTCCAGGGTGAGTGCTGCGATTACAAATTCTTCCTCTGGTTGGTTGGTTTGGTCGATCAGCCGGGACAACAAATTCTGCACATCCGAAATCGTTCGTAGATACATGTTGAATCTCAAAGTCTTAGTAGCTTTGTAAGAGCGCAGCGTTACAGCCTGTTCGCAGTGTGTAGCGGTAAGATGGACAGCAGTGGCTTGCGGTCGGTCAGCAATATTTGTGGAATTTCGTCACCGCATAGACTAACGCAAGTGCCTCCTTTTCAGGTTGTCCATAATTGCGTTCCGCAGGTGCGAGCGTTCTTGAAGCGTGTTGCACAGCCTTCATTTTACCATCGGAAAACTGATGAAAGATAACGGCACCTATCACAGTGTTTGATCCGTCTGTTGCCACGATGATCCTTCTGACACTCGGAAATCCATCGACCCTTTGTTTCTTTCTTCAACAGTCGGTCCATCGGATGATGTAATTCCTGTAAGTTGGAGGTGAAATTTCAGTTATGATTTTCACTTTCTCGGAATTTGGACGGATGCCTTGTGCAGACACGATATGTCTCAAGTAGCGGAGTTGTGTTTGATAGAAACGGCACTTCGAACGCCTGGTATGTCCACAATCATTCCATCCACCAGGCGTTGGAACATTCCCGGTGCTGACTTCACTCCTAAAACAAGCAACGATGAGTGTTGATCGTTAGTAGCTTCTTGGAATCGTCATCAACCTCGAGCTGCAGATACGCATCGGAAAGGTCGATGATGCTGCCTTTGAGTTGAGCGAAAATTTCCTCCGGTGTAGGAAGTGGATAATGGTTAGGCTCCAATGCCGCGTTGAGTCTTGTCGAGTAATCCGCACAGATGCGAACTCGGCCGTTAGGCAGCCCATTCGAAGAAGTCGACTGGCCCGATGATTTTCAGTATTTCCAACCGTGTGAGTTCGGCATCGACCAATGGAATTGTATTTTAGGGAACTGGCCGTTTGGGATAGAAAACAGGTTTTGAATTGGGTTTCAGAAAAAAGCTTTACTTTCATTTTCTTGCATTTCAAAACGTCCGCGTGCTTCGCTTGGAATCCACGAACTTGCTGATCGATCGATTTCATCTTCACTTGATTGGAGGCCGTATCGATGGGAACTGACCACAGCTCGAACAGTTGGATCCAGTTGAGGTTGGCAGCCGTTGTTTGTACTTCCGGATGCTGGAGTGATGAGCGATGTGATTCACGATGTATACGCCTCGGGACTTTGCCTTTCAAGATTTGCTTGATGACTTCTTCTCCTGACCAGCTTGAACTGATTTTGATTTGGAGTAGCAGTCACAGTAGCCTTCCTTGTGGCAATCCCGAACATAGTGCATCTGACCGCATTGCCAACAAGGTATGCGAGGTGATTTACCTTCCGTCTTCGAAGAGTGCTTTTGTCGAGAATTTCCCTTCTTCTCCTGTACTTCTCGATCATGGATGCGTCCGTCTTGAGATTAACAAGCCGTTGATAGCCGTCGATCAGATTTTGGAGAGCAACGGAAGCTTTTGGTGTTTCAGCTTCGATCCGGGAGAGTAGCCTGGCTCGTATGTCCACGTAGCAATGGCCGCAGACGAACACCAAGCATTTGAATTGGTCAATCTTCACGTTCTGGAAATCGAAATCCTCGCAAGCACGGTTGACTTTACCTCTGTGGCTGATAATGTATTCTGCTTCAGATTTCACCAGCTACAGGCACTGATATCGCTTGTTGAAGGTTGAAGTTTGTGATCCGAATATCTTCGACGTGTATTGGAAGCTTCGGCAGAATGTAATTAATCATACTGGTTCTGTGATTCATGTCATTTGAATTTCAATCCTGCTGTTCACGATCGAGAGAAAATAATCATGAAGGCGCTATGGGAACTGTTGATAAGAACGGACACGTCTAGGAAACTACGGTGATAATCTGTGTGCTATCAACAAAACTCTTTTTGGACCACAACAACAAGTCAAACAAACAAACCAATCGATCGATCAGTCGTCATTTCATCAGACCATCGATCAGCTGAACCTCGACGACACTATTGATCTCATCAATCGCTCGAGATCCTGCGATGAGACATCCTTTTTCGAAGTCTTGGATGAGATCAACGTCACAGTAGCTCAACAACCTGACAAGCTTCTGGTGGGAAACAGGCACGTCCAGATAATTCCCAGTCAGCAATCCAGCAGTTTTACTACTCAATTGAATGGTCCAACTAACAGCGAACCCCAATCTCTCACCCAGCCGAATACTGACAATGCTAGCCAGCGTGATACCTGCAAAGCCACCACCCTGACTGATAGTGGGAACACGAACCACCCTGGTGGTAACAGGAATAGTACCGGGCCTTTGAGCGTAGCAAGATTAGGCCAGACGTCTGACGACACGGTAGCTTGTTATGTGACCCCGTTTGCCCCAAACCAGAAAGAGGACGACGTAAAACAGCATATCCGTGATATTGCAAATGTTGATTCTTCGTCGGTGAAAGTTGTCAAGCTAGTTCCTCGTGGGAAACGTTTGGACGATCTATCATTTGTTTCCTTCAAGGTGATCGTTTGCAAAACTGTATCCAACGTGGTGGGAGTCACTGTCCGTGTGTTTGAACATGTTCAAAAAAACGGTTCTGCTGCATCACGTCCGAACCTGCCGTGAAAAAAACAATCATCAATCAGCCAGCCTCTCATAGTGGATTTAAAATAATCAGTTTCATCCCGGGATGCAACAACCCAAGCCATTTGGCAGCCCCTTATCCCCCCATCACAGTCGTGTCTTTCCGGCCAGCGCTCAGCAGTCATCCCGGACCTGTGTATGGGTACGGAGACGGGGTCTTCCAGGCCATCACTTCAGGCACTTCTAGCCGAATTCCTTCATCACATTATCCTGCATCATCATTCATCAGACCACTGGGATGCATGCCTGCAAGCCTCATGGAAGCCCCTAATCCTCTAATTGCAGTTGAGCCCCCCCGGCCAGCGCCCTGCAGTCATCCCGGTCCTGTGTATGAGTATGGAGAGGGGGTCTTCCAACCAGTTACCACAGGCAAGTATGCTCACGTTACGAACTATGCACTTCCTGAATCGTCTATTGCTTCCAGTTGCTTCATACCACCACGTTTTCGTGTGGAAAACAATATTGCCAGTGTTATTCAAC